CTCCTTCCTGTCTTCCTTCCTCCCTTCCCTTCGCTCTCTCTCTCTCTCTCTCTCTCTCTCTCTCTCTCTTTCTTTCTTTCTTTCTTTTTCCCAGAGTCTTGCTCTGTAGTTTAGGTTGTCCTTTAACTCACTGTACAGCCCAGGTTGACCTCGAACTCAAGGCAGTCCTCCTGCCTCAGCCTCCTAAGTGCTGTAATTACAGGCGCATGCCCAGCTTCATTCACTTTTTAAAGAAATATTTACTTAGTGCTTTCTGTATGCCAGCCCCATCTACTCCCCAGCTTTACGGCATATGTTTCATGGGCAGTCTGTTAAACTCAGTAAATTCATGTATTAACATTAGTGCTTACATTTTGCAATAGTAATTTTTAAAGAAATCCTGATTTTGTATTATGTTAGGAAAAATTAGCATTTCTAACAGAGGTGATTTGATATACATGTAGCAATTTAGGTTGGGACGGGTAGCTTTATTGATGCATTTAACAAGTAAATGCTGTTCCTACGGATACTACCATGTAGAGTTCATTAGACCTGTACTCAGGTATGATCCCACGCTGGTGGCAGATGTAGTTGAATAAATGTCTGTGAGACAATATAAATCCTCTTAAAACAGATAAATTAAACTACAAAAGCCATATTTGAGGATTTACAATAAAAAAACTAGCTTTAAGACACAATCTAGCTCTTGTCATTTTCCCAAGGTACTAAAATTGTTGTTTCATCAGGATGTTCTCATACTCTCCCATGTGCCAACTTTAACCTTCAAAAGCAGGCATACTGTGGAAGGTCTAATGGGTTACTTCAAAGGCAATGGCTGTAGTCTTTTAGCCAAATGGTAGATTTGCTGAACTTCATCTTTTCTATCAAAGATAACAGTTCATGGTGACCTGACGAGTTTGCTTTTGCAAAACCTATCATTAGTTTTGGTTAATAATTAGTAAAGATGATTAAAGGTATTTTGACATTAGAGAGGTCTTTTGATCTCGCAGGAATTTACTCAAAAGTTATTGAAAAGATTTGTATAGCTTCTGCATTTAGACTAAAGTCACTGGAAATCAGGACAGGAAATTTAGAATCTGCTGCAACAGAGACTTAAGGGGCTGCAGTGTAGCTCCATAGAGGAGCACTTGCCTAACAAGTGAGGGTCCCTATACTCAAGACCAGCATTGCAAATGACAATAACAAAAACCCTAAACATAGCAGACCCCTATCTTAAATTTTTATTTCTGCAAAACAATACCCTCTCGCAATGTTGACCCAATCTAAGGGGTTATCTTGAATTCCAGATAAATATATCTTCAGCAAGTTAAACTTTGGCTGAAAAGCTTGCTCAATTTGAAATTATGTTTTTGCAATACATTTTCTAATTTAGCATGTTGTAAATTTTTCGGATCTGAGTATTTTGAAAGGGTAGTCTCAAGTGTAATTTATTGAGACATAGAGTTCAAAACTGTATATATAGCCACATGCATAGCCACATATATACATAGCTGTGCATATGCAGACATACGCTGAGACCTTTGGAATTAGATGAAAGTGTGCTTGAGTATTTACCACTTATTAATTCAAGGTATTGATATCTTCCAAGAATTTTCAAGACACTGAGGATGTGACAAAGAACCAGACTCTTTTCTCTAAGAAACATTTTATGGAGTTGTGTATTGGGTGGGAGAGTCAAGAAATAAGATCAATAAGTATGACACACTTCTAATTTCTGAAGAGACAACAGTGGAGTGTGGAAGAGGAATGTGAAGAATGTGTTCATGGGTTGGTGGGAAAGTATGGTCATGATAAAGTGAACTTGGGAAACGACCTGGATGAAGTGAGGGTTGTATCTGGGTAGAGCTTTCTGGGCCATAGCTGGAAAAATGTGAAGACTAAGAGGGGAACTTCTTGGTGAGTAGTGAAGGGGCCAGTGTGCTACAGGAGGGGCTATGTGTGTGTGGAGAGATGAGGTTGAGGTTGGAGAGAAAGGGCTGATGAGAGCGTGGAGGATCTTTTCAGTCGCATCTCTTTTATGCTGGGATGCAAAGCCATAGCATTGGCAGTGTTTTACTTATGTTTTAACAGGATCCTTCTGATAGTTGGGAACGTATTGAAAGGAAGAGTCGGGGCTTGGACTAGGATGAGATAAGGGAAATGAGAAATGCAAATGCAAGGTCTAGTTCTGTTTTTATTTAAAATTTTGTTGTTTTGTTGGTCATGGATTTTTGTATTGATTTTGGTTTTTAAAATTGCATTGAAATACCACTGGTTTTAATTACTGAGTTTCGGGGTACCCCTCTTAAATTTTATATTGGAGACAATTACCTCACTTAGTGCACTTAACTTACTCTAATTGGCAGGGAGGAAAGAGAAGCAGAGGGACCCAGTAAAATCCATTGCAGCATCCAGCTAGAAGATGATAGCGGCTTGCATTAGAGTGATGATGGACGTGGTGGTGGTAAAAAAAATGGTCCCATTTTGGAAATATTTTACATGCTGAATGGTTGTGTTTTGAGGGAGAAAACAATGTGTCAAGGATGACATCCAGTGTTTTGATTTGGACAGTTGGAAGAACAGAGTCGAGGAAATTTGTGCAAGAAGAGCAGAAGCTTCATTTTGAGGATGCTAAGTTTAAGGTTGCTTTTAGATATTATGGGGATACGTTCCATAGCAGGAATATGGATGAGCCTGCATTTTCTGGGAGAGTCCCAGGTAGGAGATGCTGACTTGGAGGTTATCTGCGTAGAGCTGGCATTGAAGCTGTGAAACGGATGGGATCAACTAAGGACTGAATGTGAATGGGCCCCAAAGTAATCTCTGGGGTCCTTTAACTTCTAGAAATCTAGAGATAAAGAAGACCCAGCAAAGAAGACTAAGGTGAAAAGGCAGAAACATAGGAGAACCTGGTGAGCGAAATGGTTTGGAAGCCAAATAAAAACGTGTTTTGAAAACAAAAGAATGAGCCACTGTGCCAAGTCCTGCTAAGCCAAGGAGAATAGGCTTCAGTAGGAGTGCAGACCTAGGACCTGACTGGGTTTCAGTCCTCCTCCTGTCTCCCACCGCACTTTCCAGGCAAGTTCCTTAACTTCTGTGTGTCTCCGTATCCTCATCCGAAGCAGTAACAGAGTCTCCTATCAGAGTCATTGTGAATGTACATGAGTACTGCACGCAAAGGGCTTTGGAAAAGCTTCCGGTCTGTAATAAATGCCAAACCAGTATTAGGCACAGATAGGTAACATCTAAAGGAACAAAGGGAGTGGCGATATAATCACCAGTTATACTGAACCTACCTTGGCTCTGAATTCAGAGCTTCTATAATAAGAAATCCTGCAGGGGTGTGGAACAGC